GCTAAGAAAGTAGATACCTTAACTAAAGCTATGGAAGTAGAGGCGAAAAAAATGAGGCGGGAGGTTGCTGCCATGGAGAAAGAAGTTGCAGCTATGCGTGTTGATAAGGAACAAGAAGTCAAAGCCAGGCGGCTTGGTAGTTCTAAAGGGACTGGAAGTTCTCAAGTGCTTTCTGGAAGGTACATCTTCAAGTGCTGAAGAGTTTTATTGAATTTGATATTTTTATTACCGTCAAGTTCTTAAGGGCACATTTAGAATGTTGGTTGATCATTAGTAGCAAAAAGATGGTATAAAATCTAGGATAAAATTGACTACAAGTTGTGGCGTACCATTTTGTCTTCAAAATCTCTCTGCTAGCCATGGATGTTACTTTTTAATTTTAATATGCTGCACACTCGCATTTGAATGTTTTATGCCCAGATTTGCTGCTAGTGGTTAGTTCTCTGACACCACACATTTGCTTAGTAGTTATATCCCATTATTTTGTCAATATGTGGAGAAGTACACTTAAAATTTGGATATATTTTCTTTGAAACATACCATTTTGCAAATTTCTCATACTGGTGATGGTTATTTGGTCTTTGACCAAGTAACATTAAGATAACATAGACCCAACTTTAGGCTGTTAACTTCACCTTTCCTGAGATTGTATCTTCATATATGGATCTCTTATTCACTTTGGATCTTCTTGCCAGCCGGAGCTCATCACGAAGTGGGCTTACTCGCAACTACCAATGACAGCGGCACTAACACCAGGCGGCATTCATCGATACGTTCCATTTCCATTTCACCCTGTATTTGTTCCATTCACTTCCCTATTGATTTTGTGACCAAGATCCTAGCACCTGCGATGTGATACCTAGATTGGGGAAAAGAGTAGGCTCGGGTCTGATCTGACGTGATTGCTATTGCACCGTGGAGGAATCGGTCTTTTGCAGAGGCGAGGCCCTAATCCCAGTGTGGTCTGGTGCCCCCTCTCTTTGTCAAGCAGTGCAGCGCATCTGGTGATGTATAGGCTGGGCGATCTCTGCGCCTTCTCCCATCTGTTAAAATTTATGTAGCTTAGCGTGTTTGTTTGGTTCTGCTTCTGCACGCCCATCATCGCCCAGGTTGTGAATATCGTTGTTCTCACATGATTATTATTGCCTTTTCCGTTCTGTTATGTTCGGTTTGCTCTGATTCGGGTTGGATGATTGTTTCATCCCATTTGCTTTGCTGTGTGCCTGTGTTCATTGTTGTTCGTTGACAGCTACCGCCTACCGGCCTATGCGAATGTGGTTTATCGACAGAGCAACTGATTGATTTTCTCTCATTGATTATTTTTATTTTTAAGTGGATGGAGTAGCATAATATTAGTAAACGTGATGGTCGCTGGCAGAAATGAAGTCAAAATAGGAATTCGATAATAAAAAAAAAGAAGGGGCAATTTTGTTTTTACCCTTACTTTGATGTCCAATGTTGATTTTGCCCCAGTTTTTTAGGGTTTATGTTTTTGCCTCTGCTTTTTAAAAATGAAGATTAATTTTACCCCTACTTTGGATGGACAGGTTAATGGTGTTAAATCTTAGGCAAAAAGACATCTATACCCTTTGTGTTGTTGCACAGATCTGTTTTTGTTCATCGTGTGTATTTGCACATATTATGTACCTGCATCTAGCAATTTTCACCAACTACTACAAATATGACAAATTTGATGGAATATAAACAAAATGTTTCAAAATTTGACGTACTTTTACCACGAAACTGATAAAATTTGAACAAAAAATTGATATAATTTGGGCACAATTTTGACACATCTTTTGCACAATTAGAAGTCATATAGCAAGCTGCAAACATCAAAAAGTCGACCAAATCCATATCACAAACTCAAGCAAATTCTCCTCTGCCGGTTGCTGCCAGTACATAGCTAAGACGTGTCGAGCCTCTGTCGTCGCGTCCTAGGCAGGCCACCACCGCCGCTTCCACCCTGCGCCGAGTCGCCACCGCCTGACCTGCTCGCCGCTGCCGTCGCTTCCTCCTTGCATGGAGTTGCCACCGTTGTCGCCTCCTCCCTGTGCCACGCCGCCGCCGTCGCCACCATCACCTCCTCCCCGCGCGGAGCTACCGCCGCCTCCAAGCCCCCTCCACCCCTCCCCCCAACGCCGCCTAGCACGCGCCTCCAGCTCGGCGGTAGGAGGGGTTTACGCCTGGCCAATGCCCGCACGTCGCCGTCGCCAGGAAGCCGCTCGCTCACCGCCGCCTGCCCCGTCGCTGGATGGGATTCTTCCAGGAGGGAGCCTGTGTGCGCAAGTGCCTGGAACTGGAAGGGTTTTCTCTACTTGATATTTCACATGGTTAAAAAAGCCAATCAACAATTCAAAAACAAATCTTTATTTTCTCTATTTCTTTACTGCTATACACCTGGTCCCACTCACTTCCGTCTATACTAGGGTAAACGCCTCTTTCGGTTAAAAAAGTGGGGAAAAAAAACGAGAACCCTAAAGTATAGGGGTAAAATTAGTATTGGACATCAAAATAGGGGTAGAAACACAATTGTCACTGAAAAAGAACCGACGATAGTGAGGCCTACAAAAAACAAGCTGGGATGCTCATCATCCTCGGTCAAATAAGGCAAACAAATTCGGCCCGCTTAGTTCATGAATTCATTTCAATTAACCCATGAATTAATTAGGCCCACAAAAATCTCATCACGAGTCCATAAATGAATTTGGTTTTCGGTAACTACATCCAATTATTTCCCATCAACGAATTTAGCCCACTCAATTTAGGCCACTCAATTATCATACTCTCTCCGTTTCACAATGTAAGTCATTCTAACATTTTTCACATTTATAGTGATGTTAATGAAATCTATGTCTATGTCTAGATTCATTAACATCACTATTAATATGAGAAATGCTAGCGTGACTTACATTGTGAAACGGAGGAAGCAACAAATTTAGCCCACTAGTGAATGGCCACTGAATTTACATCAATGATTAGGCCCACTATTAAATTTGGCCTATCTACTACCCCTCGACGATTTTGGCCCACCAATGCATTTAGCCCAGTCCAGCAGATAATTTGGCCCACCAAATTCCCATAAACAAATTCGATCCACGAGCTAATTTGGCCCGTCAACCAGAATAAATTCGGCCTACTCAATTCCCATTAATGAATTCGGCCCACTACATTTTTCACTCGCCTTTTACCTCGTGGATGAATTTGGCCCGTAGTTGAATTCGGCCTAGTTAATTCCGGTCAACGAATTCATCCCACTAATTGATTTGGCCTACCTTATTGCCCGTAAAGTAATACAACCACGAGTAAATTTAGCCCACTTAAAATCCACCAGTGAATTACGCCCACAATTTAACTTGGAATAAGTTCACCGGAGGTCCCTTAACTTAACCGCGAGATTTTTTTAGTCCCTTAACCACAAAACCAGAAATATATACCCCTAAACTTATACAAACCGTGCACTCAACGTCCTATGGCAGTAGATATAGGTGGTTTCGCTGACGTGACATCCTAGTCAGGAAAAAGAAATTAAAAAAATACATGGGTCCCACATGTCAGCTTCACATTCCTTTTCTTCTCTTTTCTTCTCCCCCTCCTCTTTTCTTTCTTCACTCTTCTCTTCATCTTCAGTGAGGCCGGCGCCCGGCCGGCGGGCGGAGCGGCGAAGGGCGGCAGCAGGCGAGCGCAGCGGCGGGCCCGCGCGGCAGCGGAGCGGTGCACTGTGCTGGCGCCGGCGCCGGCTAGGAGGACGACGAACTGTCCCTGCTGCTGCGTTGCAGCGTGCGGCCGGTGGCGGCCCCGCTGCTCCTCCGCATGAAGTCCGGCAAGGGCGCCCACCGCAGCGAGAACATCTTCTGGGAGACCACCATGGAGTCCACCAACTTCCTCGACGACGACAACTCCTCCTCCTGCGCCGGCGGCGGCGACGGTGATTACCACTACCTCGACGCCTGCTTCCTCTGCAAGCGCGACATCACTTCAACCGCCACATCTTCTTGTGTAAGTACGTACCACGATCTTAATTAATTTTCTCTCGTTGAATCTCATGCATATATATTTGCTTGATTGATTCTTCGATTATTCAGTGATTCATTGATTTGATTGCATATGTGTTGTTTGTGCAGGGGGAATGCGGCGTTCTGCAGTGACGACTGCAGGCAGGACCAGATGGACATGGACTCCGCGCTCGCCGCCGTCAAGCGCTGCCACCGCACGCTGCAACGCAGCAGCCGGGACAGGTCGTCGTCCTCCTCGTCGGCGCCGGCGGCGGCACAGTGCACCTTGTCTGGCTAGCTGGCTAGCTACTACCAAGCCGTTCGTTGTACAGTCACAGCGGCGGAGCGGCAATGGGCGGCAGCGGGCCTGCACCTCCTCCGCATGAAGTCCGGCAAGGGCGCCTGCCGCCGTCACGCTCTTCCGCTCGCCCGCCGCCGCCCATCGTTGCTCTGCCCCGCATCCCGGCGCCGCTCCGCTGCCGCGCAGGCCCGCCGCCGTCCATTGCCGGCCTCCCTCACTGAAGAAGAACAGAAGAGAGAAGAGAGAAAATATAAGAGAATGAATGTGCAGCTGACAGGTGGGCCCCACATATTTTTTTAAATTTTTTTTCGCTGACTAGGATGCTATGTCGGCAAAACTGCCGTAGGATCTTGAGTGTACGGTTTATGTGAGTTTAGGGGTATACATTTCTGGTTTTGTGGTTAAGGGACCTAAAAAATCTCACTGTTAAGTTGAGCGACCTCTGGTGAACTTATTCCATTTAACTTAGGCCATGTACAACGAATTCTCACCACGATTGAATTTAGCCCACGTAATTTCCGTAGAAAAATTCAGACCTCGGGCGAATTTGGCCCGTTAAATATCCGTCGACGAATTCAATCCACAACAAAACTCAGCCCAGTTTATTCCACGTGAAAGAATCCGGCCCATAAACATGGAAGCCCATCCGAGCCCACGGCCTACTCACCCACGCGGCTCAAAGCCCACTATCCAGGAAACGCCACGCCGATGCCACCGACATTCCGCCGCGGCGTCCTTGCTCGATCGCTCACTTTCTCCATCGTTGACGGGCTTCTCCTCCTCCTCCTCCTCTCCCCCCTCGTCGCCGCCGTAGCCGGGGGGCGCCGCGGCGAAGCCGCCGATGCGGCCGGGTCCAGCCGCGGACGCCGCCTTCGTCGATCCACGCCGCGCCGTTGGTAGGTACGCCCTGTTTATCTGCCTCTCCTCGCCGCGGGCGCGCGTACGGTTGGGCTGGGGAATGGGGAACGAGCAGCTCACACCCAGGGGCTCCTCGGAAGCAATGCGAGGGTGCCGAATAGACCAAATCTTAGGGCCGATTTGTATCTCTCGTCGCAATGCGTAGAGCGATTCGGTCATCTGAGTTCTAAGGTGGTACGTTTTGGCAGGTTGACTTTTTTTTTTTTTGGCATAAGGGAAATGATAGAACAAAGCATACATTAGATTCGACCATGCCGTAAGCAAAGCATGCATTCCATCATGTAATTTACGAGTTTCTAGGCAGTGTTAAGCCACATCATAAATCAAAAACAAATTGTGAAGATATCGGCTGGTGCTTAGTGTGTATTGGCGGATGAGCTCCGGGCTAATTGCCACTGACTGTGGCGAGGTGCATATATGCTGCTATGGGCTTCGATCTATTGGTTTCAACAGTTGTTAAGTATGCGCGCCACATGAGCTGTTGGATTTCTTGGACGGTGGATAAGTGATGACTGCACGTTCGTGACTTCAAGGGGTGAAGGCAGACGATCCGACTCCATAAGGGAAATGATAGGGTGAATTGGAATTTCACTTTGCGCGCATGTGATATGCGATGTAGTTAGTTCTCTGATAGATTTTTATTTTAAGGATCTCATGAGTCGTTAACCTTCACATGGTAGTAGTATATATAGTTTTGGTCTATGTGGTTATAATTTGACGCTTTTGAGGCTTTTTTTTAGAAAAAGACAAATCTTCCAAAAAAAAATGTCCAACAATGTCTTCTGCTGATTATATAGATTTCAGGAAAGTAGGAAATTTTTCCTTGTATGATACTTCCTCCGTTTCACAATGTAAGACTTTCTAGTATTGTTCACATTCATATAGATGCTAATGAATCTTTATATATAATAATATCTTGATTCATTAGCATCTATATGAATGTGGATAATGCTAGAAAGTGTTACATTGTGAAACGGAGGGAGTAAATACATAGGATGATGTTACATTGTTACTGTTATTTGGTCAAGCTAATTTAGCTTTATTATAGCATTGTTACATTATAAATTCAACTATCTGTTTATACTCTTTATTTTTCTAAAGAGTATGTTACTATTTGTTTATCAGGAAGAACATGCTATGTGTTTGAGCAAAGATTTTCTGAATTAGTCGTCTCCTGCAGCAGGCTATTAGGTTATTAGTGCAAGACAACTTCCTAGTTCATTTTGTAAATTGTAACTCTTCGCACAAACAGTCAAATAGTCTCCACTCTCCAGTGGCTATTGACCAATCACCATGGAGACCCCGACAAATCTCACCAACACAATATCTGCAGTTCACCTGTTAAAAATCAATGGATATTCAGTAACCAGAGCACTTGGTTGTTCAGAGTATATCTCGTCGAGGAGATTGGCTGCAGGTGGATATGATTGGGAAGTTCTTTACTATCCACGCTATTATGAGCATGGTGTGTACTGGATAGCACTTCGACTTATGTTTATGAGCAAGGAATGTAAGCATGAGGTGAAGGCAGCTCTTAAATGTCAGTTAGTACATGAGGCACAAATTTATCTGCCATCCGGAAGTAAAAGTGTATCCTCTAAATATACAGGGCAACGAGATTGCGGGCCAGCGCTCCTGCTTGTAAAACAAGATGATTTGCCAGGATCCAATTATTTCATCGGGGATTCCTTTGTTGTGGAGTGCACCATCACTGTGTTAAGAGAGCCACAGGAAGCTGTGACTAATGTTTCTCCAAATGTTTCCAATCCATGCTGTGACTTGCAAATGCACCTTGGTGAACTCTTGCTGAGTGAAAAGGGGGCAGATGTCACGTTTGTTGTTGCAGGTGAATCTTTCTTGGCACACAAGATCATCCTCGCTGCTAGATCCCCTGTCTTCATGGCTGAGTTCTTTGGACCCATGAAGGAGAGTAGCTCACAGTGTGTGGAGATCAAGGACATAGAGGCATCAGTCTTCAAGGCCATGCTTCATTTCATTTACACTGGTACATCACCGGAGCTTGATCAGCAGCATGTCGTCAGTGACTCGGAGCAGGACATCACAACAATGACACAGCATTTGCTTGTTGCTGCAGACAGGTATGGATTGGACAGGCTCAAACTGATCTGCCAAGATAGGCTCCACGATGACATCAATGTGGAGACTGTTGCGACAACTTTGGCTTTCGCAGAGCAGCATAGCTGTACACAGCTGAAGGACAGGTGCATCGAGTTCATCATCTCTTCTCGTGCAAATCTTGATGCTGTTATGGCAACAGAGGGTTATAAGCTTGTGATAGCAAGCTGCCCGTCGGTTCTAAGTACCCTTCTGAGGGCAGCGGTTGGGAGATAGAAAGTGCTAAATAGCTGAAGATTTACCACTACAAGGAAAGCAGGAATACTGGTTGGAAATGCAATTTCCAAGGGGCACTCCTGCAAATTATTAAAGGGAAGTACTGCTCACCAAAAGGCAGTCTTTCGTAACCTATATTCAATAGGAAAAATGAGAAATTAATGGGAAAAATGTACAGCAATAATAAAATTCAAGTGACAGTATATACCATAGAAGTGCATTAAGGTCCCTGCAAAAACAAAAGAAAAAGAAGTGCCTCAAGGAACTCCGGGAAAACAGAAGAAGAGGATGGTCCATGAGCAACCTATGATTTGAGAAACAAAACCAGTTAGTATGTTCTTATTTCTAGGGAACCATAATAGCATTTCTTTACTTACATAAGAATTGAGTTTGTGCATTAGGCTTGTTCACTGTGTACTCCAGCCACTGTATCCGACTTCCTTGTTGTTGACAACATTTGTGACTACCTCATGAGTAATATCATGTACTTGCTGATGTGTGTACAGTGACTGTCTCCCATTGTTTAGGATGTTGCAGGATGGTGCACATGTTGAATCAACCCGATCTCTATCTATATTTGGTGTGATGCGTTTGAGGTTTGGGATTTATGGATCCTATTGATGTAATATAAAATAAATGTATGTGCCAATCTCACATGCATATTGTGACATCCATTGCATTTCGCTTCATGGCATGTTGTTTTGGTCCTGAGTAACGAAGGAAAATTACATATGCCAATCTCAAGAGTAACAGAAAAAATTGTACCCCTCTATCCCAAAATATATCAACCTAATACTGGGGTGGTGTTTGAATCTCATGAAGATAAAGATTAAGTTTTTCACGCAAAACGAGGTGGTAATAACGTGTGATTAATTGAGTTTTAATTACTACAAACTTGAAAAATGGATTAATCTGATATTTTAGAGCAACTTTCATATAGAAAATTTTCGCACAAAACGTACCGTTTAGCAGTTTGAAAAACATGCCACGAGTATCCAAAATTTTATCCTCTGGCTGCAGAAGAAACGAACAGGACAGACACATCTTATACAAGGGACTACTAAGATGTGTCTAATCTAGTATTAGGTTTCAATATTTTAAGACGAAGGGAGTATATGCTAATCTCTAAGACTAAGAGTAAAAGAGGAAAAAGAAATCAAAAGCTAAGCGATAAGGTCGTTTTGCTTCTGCTATGGCTTTCTTGATTTTTGCCGCCAGCGCTATCGCTGACTAAGCTAACAATTGTTGCATGCATTTAACTGAATAATCTCTGAATTCTGTACAGTTCATGGACAGTGTCAGTGAGATCGCCATGCATCATGCATGTCAAGAAACCGGAGCAAGCAGGGAGAACTTGACGTGCAGCGAGATCCTCCCCTTGTCGACGTCGAGCTTTGCTCCGGTGACCAGCCAGTAGCCGGGACAGTCCTGCGGCCCCATGGTCACCTGCGACGTCTCCACGAACTTGAGCAGCCGCTGCGCCCCCACCGGCGCCGGCGGCCCTCCGGCGAACACGCCGGAGTCCACGTTGAGCCGCGCCGCCGCCTGCTTCTGCTGCTCTTTCTCCGCCGCCGCCGCCGCCATCGACGCGAATGACATCGACAGGAAGCTCCCCTTGACGCCGGACATCCTCGCCGCGCCGCCGCCGCCGCCGCCGTGCGCCCATCTCGACTGCACCACGCTGTGCCCCGGCAGCTCGGTGTAGAGGAGCCTGAGGTGGAGGACGCTGGTGGACTCGTGCGCCTTGACGTGCAGCTGCGCGCCGGACACGACGTACGCCGCCGGCCGGCCGCCGCCGCCGTCGCCGGCGGCGAGCCACCGCGGGTCGTGCTTCACCGGCACGGTGCAGACGTGGGCGAACATCCGCCGCTGGACCGGCTCGTAGTACCGCTCGTCGGCGATCGCCTCCGACCCTCGCCACGCCGGCGGCCGGCCTGACCAACCTCCGGCGATGAACGTCGGCGTCGTTGACAGGTGCTGCAGGTGGATGCCTAACCTGATCATCCATGACATTTAAAGTTGTTATAACAATCTAAAATTTCTCAAATTCAAAAAGAAAACAATCTAAACTTTCGTATCTAACTTGTTTAATCAACAATTAAACAAGTGACATTAGCAAAGAAATGAGAGTAGATTATTGGTATCTAACCGGTTGTTCTTCTTGCCTTCAAGGTGCAATCTCATCCCAGTGATTGGCAGTTTTGGAACAATCACCTGCATTTTGTTTTTTTTTTTGTAATTAAGTGAGCAAATTCTGTTGGATTTGCAGATGCAACTAGCTGGTAAGCAATGTGAACAAGATTTGATTTCTTGCCTGGCTTGAGTTGACATGGAGCTTGGAGCCTACAAGGCTGAAGTGTAGAGCAGGGTTAGTGCCTTGCCGGTTGGAGCACAGTCCGAGGGGTAGGTCACTGAGCACCGGGGCCCACAATCTGTGGTGCTGGAAGTCCAGGAAGTACCTCAACTCTGCTACTGGAGGTTTGTCTGTTGAGGAACAGTGCCACAATTATGTACTGTTAACTACAACTCTAGCATGGACTAATTTAGAATGGTGAATAAATGAAATTTGCATTGGTAGTGCCATTTTGGAAAACTTGCCTAAATGAAAATATGCATGTACTATTCTCTCTAAGTATGTATGCTCCTGGGAACAAGATATTTGCTCCGGTCCAACAAAAATTATCTCGACGTACCGGTACCTCACAGTACAAAATCATTTCCGATCGTTGGATCTAGCAATATTCATCCTACCTAGCGAGATCCAACGATCAGAAATGATTTGGTACCGTGAGGTATCGGTACCTCGAGTTACTTTTTTGTTAGACCGGAGTAAATCTCAAAACAATGTATATGATCTTAGCAGATTGCATAGCTGATGAAATGTGTGAGAGAGCTCTTACATCTCAAATAGAGGTTTATGGCATGAGAAAGGAAGCCCACGCCAGCTACTCCCTTGAGAAGGGATGTGATGGGCACGAGCTTGAAGTTGATGGCGTCCGGCATTAACGGCACCGTCGGCAGCCACTCCGAGTGGTTGCTCGCCGCCGTGTCTCCTCCCCTCTTGGAGTAGATCACTGTCACACCCTGCATATCAGTCAAAAATTCAGTAATGATAGATCCCTGCATGATTAATTCTCTTCAAGGTTCATCATTAGCAGCAACATTCTGCTAGACAGCATTGTATAATCTAGTTCTTTTCATTTCTTTGGTACATATTATACTATATTAATATAGGTAATTTTATCATCCTTCAGATAGTACCGGGAAGTACCATACTTCCTAATGTAAAATTTGCTACGTTCAGAACTTTAGATACTAAGTACCTCGAAATACCAAAAAAAAATAGTGTAAAATTTAGGTACCTGAGATATTTTTTTAAGGATTATAAAATTTCTCATATTAATATAGCGTAGTAAGAGCCTCTTCCTGTTGTTTGCTGTAAAAAAAAAGCAGCCTACAAGTTTGAGCAGCTGTAGTACCTCTTTGCATGACATTGGAGCAGTCATTCCTTCAATCCTCTGCCGTGTCATTTGGGCATCAAACACATTGAATGCCTCAGGGACCTATTGCAAATCGACAATTGAAATCATTAAATAAGAAAATTCAGTTTCAGTTTTGACATGTTTCAATGTACAATTGTTATTTTTCTTTTTTACCTTGAACTTGTGGTCTCTGGACTTGCAGTGTGAAGGGGGAAGAGTGCATGTGCCAGTGAAGAGCTGGTCGCCAAGCTTGTCCAAGTGCTCCTTGATCACGGACGGCGACAGCGGCGACGACTTGTCCTGCTTCACGTACACCACATCCTGGCCGCCCATGCTCAATCCGACGATGATGTGCGTCCCGTACTTCTCGATGAAACTGCTCACCGAATTCAGAGAGAGCAACGTTATATCTAGTAATCATCAGAACGGAAACTGGCTGAGAAATTCAGAGAGAGTGTGACATTATAATCTTCAGAGTTCAGACTTGTGGCGTGCATGGACTATATGGACCGGTTCAGAGTCTATCACGCTTTCATTTTTATTTTTTATTTTTACTGAAGGACTCAACGGTGACATGTTCAGAGTTCAGATTACAATGATGGAAAAGAAGGAATAACTAATCTGTTTCCTGTCTTTGTCAATTAGCATGCACTAATGTTCAGTCTATAAATTTCAGAGACTTCATATAGAAAAACTAAAAAATCCCTCCGTATACGAATATACTACCTCCATCCTAAAATATAAATATTTGATGCCGTTGACTTTTTTAAAAATGTTTGACCGTTCGTCTTATTCAAAAAATTTAAGTAATTGTTAATTCTTTTTCTATCATTTGATTTATTGTTAAATATACTTTTATGTATACATATAGTTTTACACATATCACAAAAGTTTCTAAATAAAATGAACGGTCAAACATGTTTAAAAAAGTCAACGGTGTCAAACATTTAGGGAAGGAGGGAGTAAGTATTTCTATTTTGTTTAGAGTTTTTTTTTTGAACGAACAGTTTGTTTATAGAGATTAAAGTTAAAAAGAAAAGACGTTTGGTGTTTCTTATTAAATAAGGGATGGTTGGGATAGGGGGATGGTTGGGAGGTGAAATGGGAAGAAATTTGTTACGTTTATGAACAAATTTTAAACGCTTTAAATACTTATATTTACGAAAGAGGGAGTATTACCTATTACCTAAGGCAAATTTTGCCTATTACTTTTGTGAGATACTTAGTTTCCCTGCAGCACTGGTATGACACACTGAATTTGCTTTGAGTTCATGCTCAAGACCAGGAACAAGTCCAAAATCATGAAGCTACCTTTTTCTATGCTGTCTACAATTTGCAGTCATCTATATATTCTGTCCTGGTTCCAATTTTCTTCGCGTGCTTGTGGAAAAAAAAACTTTTTGTACTATCCATGCAAAATTTTCACTCCACATGGCACTAGTGTATTGGATATATATAATTATGAGCTCGTGGAAAAAACAAGGTCCAAGTTGCCTTCATTATTTAATCGGCTTAGCCTGTACGGATATGGCTGTGTTCGCCAGGCAAGGTTCCCAACCGAAACTGTACACGCGAAAAACGAGACGGTTTATTAGCGCGTGATTAATCAAGTATTAGCTATTTTTTTTAAAAAAAGATTAATTTTATTTTTAAGCAACTTTCGTATATAAACTTTTTGCAAAAAAACGTACTGTTTAGCAGTTTGAAAAGCGTGTGCTCCAAAAACGAGAGAGAGAGGGGGGTTGGGAAAAGGGTGTGCCTAACACAGCATATGTCCTCTTTCGAGTACAGATGACATAAATGTTTTATTCTATTTTTTTAAAAAAAAAACATGACTTAACAACAACATATTCAGATAGTCGATGAAATTATTATTATTATTATTATTGCTTCTGCCGGTGAGTATGTATGTATAGTTATCTCAAAATAACTTCATTTCTAGTCATTATCATTCAAATTAGTATGGAGAAAAAAATATCAATGTACCCCTCTAATTAAATAGTACTAAAATAGTTTTGATGGATGCGTAAATAAAGGGCATGTTCACTTTGATGCCAAAAAAAAACTTGCCTAAATTTTGGCAGGATATCTTATATAGTTATCAAAATTTGACAGCAAACTAAATATAGCCACTTTTTTTTTTTGATAACTTTACAAAATTTGGTAAGATTGAAAATAGTATTAAAGTGAACAGGTCCAAAGAGTATAGAAGGGATAAATATTCTTCGTTTGCAGATAAGGATAGGTAAGTACATAAGAGTACACTTTTTTTTTCATAAAAAATAGTAAAGATATAAGAATAAATTTATTTTCGAACGAAGAGAAAACCTTGCAATGGCCGATGGGTCCCACGCCGCCGGCACGTCGGCGACGACGTGGCCAGCGAGGGCGAGCGGGCGGCAGTCGAGGCGGAGGTCGAGGAGGGAGATGAAGTAGCCGTCGAAGGCCAAGCACCTGGTGTCGCCGGCGTCGCTGGCCCAGGAGTCGCTGCCGAAGTCGAAGCACGAGTTGAAGAGGCCCGACGGGATCTTCCCCGGCAGCGAGCTCCGGTGGTTGAACAGATCCGACATCTGCAGATGAACGTGCGGTCGAATTAGGAATAATTAATTATCTTTTCATGGTTATTTGGTTGAACAATTATTTTGTTTTGTTTTTAAATTTTGTTGTTGTAGGATGATGATTTCTTAACTCGTTGAGACTGTAAGTAGTACGCGTGTTGTTGACATTATGCTCTGGACTCTGATTGTCTGATTATTTTTGGAAGAAATTTTGACTTTGATCATGATTCAAATATTAATAACGTAGTGAGGAAAATAGCCTTGAGCTTAGACGAAACATAGAGATCAAAGATTAGTAGTAAGAAATAGGTGACCACTGTTCCATATGTCCATTTTGTTTGGTTATGAAAAAGATTTGGCAAAAAAGAAGTAACTGAACAGTTTTTTTTTTTTTGTCAATCTTTTGGATAACTCTAAAAGGAGACTTTCATTTGTGAGCAGCTGGCAATTAATTCGCTTGCAATTTGTGTCATTTTGAACCAGCAAATAAAATCAAATGAAGCAGCAACCAAATCAACGAACCTTGTTGAACTCGAGCACGTCGGACTTGAACCTGATGCGGTCGCCCTTGCCGAACTTCACGTCGGCCGGCACGCCGGCGACGACGCCGACGCCCGGCACGGCGACCGCCGCCGCCTTCTCGCCGCTCCTGGCAACGAGACAACCTCCCTCATCCTTGCAGTGCTTCAGCCTCAGGTCGCCCGCCATGTCGACACCTCTGCCGAGGCACCTCACCGCCCTCTGCACCGCCGCCGCCGCCATGCCGCCGCCGGCGATCTCCATCTCCTCCATGCTCCTTGGCATGTCTTCTCTTGGGGTTGGATGCTTTGAACGAATTGCGACGTATATATGCTTACTCTATGCACATGCCAAATTGACCGTGCTGCCAAGAACTTGTCATCAAAGATGTCAAAACATGTGATGAAAATTTCTATCTCTTCTCTTCTGTTTTGTCTGGAAACTATCCACAACCAATACAGGTTGGTGATTTGGGATTGGGAGGAGGAGGAGAAAATGCACAAATTGACACTTTTGGGGGTTCAAATTTATAGGAGTGGATAGGAAGTTGAGGGACAGGGACAAGAGATTGGTGGGTGTGGGAACAAGAACAGGGGTAGCATAGGTTGACTGACTGCTAAGCTGTTGCTTTTTAATTTTGTTTTGTGTAGACTCTGCTTGAATTGACTCCAGTTATTGGAATTGTTTTTTGGGGACCAAATTTTACCCCTTCTTGCTGGGCACCGCCGCACCGCCAAAGCATACGACTCCTCATCCCTGTGATATGCTGCACGTTTTTCTTACTAATGCAAAAGTGTATTCTTTTGTGTTTGGTGTTTTTTTTATATAAATAAATTTTACGGAACTATAGATACTCTGATCAATATACCATAAAACTACATATTCAACATAGAGTATCACAAAACTAAAAACTATAGAGTCAGTGACAAATTGGTCACAAGATGATAATGTTTATAATTCAAACTCGAAAATCGTAGCTTTATGATACATTTAGGTCGAGTTCTTTTCATCAACTCGAAACGATAACTTCTTCGTTTTCTGTTAGAATGCTTTTCAATTTACAAAACCGTGTGTTTTATCATACATATAAAAGTTAAAAACAAAATTTCAAAATTTATAGTTGTTAATTCTTAATTATTCACTTGCTAATAACATATCTTTGTTTTGCGTGGCGGAGATAAGCTCAGCCCAAATGTTGAGTTGAACAGCGCCTTATTATTAAATCTAAAGTTTTTGGGACACTTTAGGTTAGATCTATAGTTTCATGATAAATTTGATATTAAAACTGTAGTTTTATGATATGTTAAATAAAATATATAATGTTGTAATATTTTGATCAAAGTATGTATAGTTTTGTAAATGAAATGTACTATTTTTATCCTGATGTTTTTCAAGTGTGTAATCCGCAACCTGACGACCCATTTGAATTCTCTCTGATGTAATGCCAAACTACATGTATTAATGGGTACTGGCTAAACTGATATACCACTTTTATGTACAAATACTTGCTATTTAGACTTTGATTGTTAATAACTTTTAAAATTTTCAGTTAGGACAAATGAAATTAAGTCATACAGTTAGATTTGTCATGCGACGTATTAGTGGTTTTTAAATTTGCTTACAACACTCTTTCTCTGTACACACACATATGTATATTCCTCTCTAAATTTGGTCGTAATACATTTGGTATGCATTTACAGAGAAAAATAGACAAGTCATCTTGTCGGCAATTGGTACGGCAAGTATTTTCTTCCGAGCTAATTATTACTGTCATCCATAACTCCATTTTTTCCACGAATCGTAATTACTTTCTGTCCAATTTTTCCATGGATCATAATTATTTTTCATCAACGTCTCTGCTTCTCATTGCCCTCTAGTGACTGGCTCATCACAACTCATGAAGATAGCAGTCAGCTTACCTACCAAAAACCACGCGTACAATGGGAGTTGAGGCCTGGAAATGACTAAAATAATAGAAGGATTTTATTTCTTGGGAAATATTTCTTGTGAGATCCTTGAATCATAGGAATGGGGTTGCCTAATCCTATGGAATAGTTTCTGTCAACGGTTTATACCACGACTACGATATTTAGAAGTATCGGGATCATTGGTGCCAAGGTGCACGCGAGATTGAGATAAAGAGATGAGAGATAGAGAGATTTTTATATAGGTTCAGACATCTTAACTGACAGGTAATAGTCCTACTTCTGTTAGCTGAAGCCGGTGTTGCCTTTATATATCGGTATCACACGAGTACAATATTTGGGATAACCTAATCTAGTCTCGGTCGTGTTGGCGGCAAAACCTAATCTAGTCTCTGTCGTGTTGGCGGCATGGAGAGCTCTTACACGTAGTCGACGGTTAGTGTAGTCTTGAACTCGATGAGATGGAGGTAGCGCTAGATCCCTCATGTCGGCTTTTGTGGCTCTAAATTGGGTATGTCTAGGCTTGCCTTCCGTTGGTCTAGATTTGTATTGGTGTGTCTCCCCTCCTTCCGAATACGTGTCTTGTATTTATACCCTCGGATATCCTCTTGTCCAAATAGAACTAGGAAGACACGTATGGATACGATCTGAGTAGTTCATGTAGTATCCAGCTAAAACTCTGCTTCTTCTTCTTTATCCGGAACATCTTCCAAATATAAAGACGTGATTTCGTATAAAACTTGATATATGGTGGAGCCCGCCGAGTCTAACCTAAAACTATTGGGTATGTTTTATGTATGACACTGACAGTTTCCTATGCCTTTATTCGTCGTTTGTCTTTGGGGCAGACGGTAAACATTAATAGTTGTCGCACTCATCCATGCCACACATCTTATCAACAGCTGCATGGAGTGGCCTCACCACATAGAGAGCATCTAAGCGGTAGAATTAAGTGTTTCTCTCCTTGAAAAAAAAATCAGCAAATACGCTGCAGCTAAGTGAATAGGAATATTAGCAAAAACTTTGGTAAATCACATTGCAGAAGAAGTCAATAAAATAGTTCAAATATGAACAATGGCATGGGGTAGTATATAGGTCTGAATTAAAAAAAAATACAAAATTATTGGCTTAGAAAAAAAGGAAGTGGAAGTCACTGTACGAGACATCAGACGAGGAAAAACATCCTTGTATTGCTTACTTATTCGATGTGGCGGTAGAATAAGTTGGATACTCTCAAACAAGGAGAAATGTGATTTATCAAAGCTTTTGCTAATCTTTTCATGTGCTTAGCTACGGCGTATTCGTTAAATTTTTCCGAGGAAGAAATAACTAATATTCTACCGATTAGTGTCATACGGCCGTTGATAATAAGATGTGGCATGGTCCGCATGGATGAGTGCAATTGTAATGTTTGTTATTTGCCCCAAAGACAGACGATGTGAACCCGCCCTCATTCTATAGGAAAACAAACATGAGATTCAAGCTTATGTTTTTATTTCCTTAGAGAAATCCAATACTCTTGCTCTATTTTATCTCACTACACTCTCTCTAATATTTTAAAAACCCTGAGTTTTATTTCCTGTGAACTATTCAAGGCATTGCACTAATATTCCTGTGTTTGAAATCCTGTAGAATTCTACAATGCTTGACATCCTATTTTTACTTTTTCCCCCCTATTTCTGAGTTTCCAAGGAGCCTTTAGATGGCTGAATTTGTACGTTCTGTTAACACCAAACTTTTTTTTAAAAAAATCAAATTAAAAAATATCACGGTGTATGCTCTGTTAACACCTATACTGAAATTCTGAGTACCAATTTCCTTTTCCAGTTGGGACTTGGGACCTCCTTCCCTGCAGTATCAGAAAAATATCTCGAGTTCACATCTCCAGTGCGTGTCGGTGAGACGGTGACGCGACAAGGATGCACTAGTTGTTCCATGGATTGTAAGTGGTGTATAACCTTTGAATTAATCTTGTATACAGTGGAATTTATAGCGGCAGAAACAAAAGGCGTCCAAAAGGCGTATGCAATTATTAATGTTTACTGCTCCATGGCTATACTCCCTCCATCATCTAATATAAGGGATTTTGACATTTTACTTTTACTGTTTGACTATTTGTCTTATTCAAAAAATTTTGGAATTATTATTTATTTTATTTGTGACTCACTTTATTATCTAAAGTAATTTAAACATAGCTTTTCGTTTTTTATATTTACACAAATTTTTTGAATAAGACGAGTGGTCAAACAGTGCAAACAAAATTTTAAAATCCCTTATATTACGAGACGAAAGGGAGTAGAATAGTAGTAGTGTTTGATCTGGTTGATTAATTTATTAATTTCCAAGGCTAGGCCTTTGTTGTTGAAAAGTATGATTGCATGGGACCATATATTTTTTTAAAATATATTTTTACTACATGGAAAACAAATATACATCACATCACTACAAAATGCATGCACATACATGCGAATACACCCCCTTAACATATGCGCAAATAGATGAACACATACGAGAAATCCGTAAACTCATTAAATTCCTTAAAATTAAGTGCTTAAGTGCATATGTGCAGTATATGTATATTTACGAGGACCAATATTTCACATGTTGCACAAAAAGAAAAGACACAAACAAATTAATGAGATAAAATTAGAAGACATGATCTCTATATATACGAACACATCAGAACTTAAATCAAATCAACATGAACTGTGATAATTATGGTTGCACATGAAGAGTAAATTCAAGCGGTATAATATACATCATTGAAATAATCTGAGCCGACCAAGTTGAATCCTATGTCCAATAGAAATGTACTTTAGGCAATATAAAGTGTTAAACTTTGATCTATTGGTCAAAATTTATTGAGATGATGTGACGCAATGAGAGAAAGGAAAAATAACTTTAATTGTACCTAGTGTGGATAAACTTTATAAATATGTAGTATATTCCCACCATCTAAAAAATAGCTAATTCTAGCATTTAAGTTTTTGTCCCAAATATAACTACTTCTAGAATACCAAGGGATGTTTGTAGTCGTAAAATATTTAAAATACTCCTCCTCTCCACAACCCCTGCAGTCCTGCACACCTTCGCCAACCGGGACAATTGATGAAGGTCAACTTAGTCTTTCTATAATTATATTCTTAAAAACTTGAGAAGTAGCTATATATATTTTTCTTAAAAAAATAAGTAGACAGAAGGACGGAGTATCTAGTTTGTAGCCTACATACACCATCGTTTTTTTTAATACTCCCTTCATTCCAAAATATAAGGCACAATCACATTTAGCTCAAAGACCAAGAAATAATTATTATCACCTCATATTTTGGATTAATCTAATAAATGTATTGCATGCACCCAATAAAATTAGACATCTTGATGGTGGAGAATTTAAATAGCAATAATTTAGTGGAGAAGATGTGTTAGTTAATACTATGTATGCATGTATGACTTATATTATAAAACAACTTTAAAAAGTAGTTGTGCCTTATATTATGGAATGAAGGGAGTATGTAAACAAAATGGCTCACTCAAACACCTCCGAAAATAACTTTTGAAATTACGAAACCAGTTCCAGAAATTCTTAGAGTTGACATTTGAACGACATTATATAAATGCATCAAACGGCTCTTTAGTCCACGTATCACAAACGCATAAAATCACCACCAACCTCTTCTGTGTGAAAAGTAGTTTTTTTTTTCTTTTTTGGCATAGGACAAAACGAGAGCACCTGAACTCATGCTTACGTTCACCTGAGCTTCTTGTGTTCAGATGCAAGGACCAGAGTGAATCCCAGTATTTGATTCTTGGAAGAAGACCAGGTCATTAGGTCAAGCCCCAACATTCTACTGGTTAAGACAAGAATAACGGTGTTCACATTTGCAGATGGCCACACGATTCGATTGGAATCATCAGAGGCCACACGAGTACATGACCATTATAACTTTATGTGAGACACATGAGTACATGACTTGGTCTTGGAAAAAGTAGGTAGCTGCAGAGTGAAAGGAAGTTGTTGGAGTTGAACTTGACCCTGAATTACTCACCTCCTTGAACGAGGATTTTGAACCTATAAATGGTCCACAAATCATAAGAGAAAACAAATGAAGAGATGTGGAGATCTCTTTTTTTCCCCCCTTTTTGAAACAAGAAAAGAAGATGATGATATCTGTCTCTGCTTGACTATGTCCTTGAATACAGCTGAGACAATATTTGTCTGCTAAATTGGGCTAAACCCCGACATATAAAAACAACCCAACAGATTGTACAACACAACATATTTGGTTTTGCTAATTCCAGGAATATTCTTTTCAGAAACCACAAATATTACCAAGTTCAATCTATGGCAGCATATGGTAATGATTTGGCAGCTGAAAAATGAACTTGCACAAGCTTCCACTGGCTTCCTGATCAGCAATATAAAAAATTGGGTCCTTCAAAAAACCAAGTCTAACTGCTTCGTCCATGATATCGTTGGTATCACCGTAAGCTGGAGCATCTAGTGATTAATGGCTCATTCATAAAGCAAATTCTGCTTCAGCTTGTTTCAGAACACGTGAAACCATGTTGTAAAATTCAGGTTCTTCTTCCTTTATTTGGTCAAGAGTGGTGGATTCATGTGCATCTGCCTGCAGAGGAGAAATAGAAGTAAAACCATGAATATGTTACTCAATTTTTACCCCTCTCAGAAATGCATGTCCACTAATATTTGAAGTCAATTTTCCATTATCAGGTGTCTGTCACAAGTGCACATGAATTACCTCATTGAACTTGAGAAGTATTAAGTTTGACACGCCAGCAGGCTTTGATTTATCCCACCTAAAAAAATGAATAAAACAAATAACAGTAGCAATTATTAAATATGTCAACAAAATTGTTATTGGAACTTGCTCACTAAAAAAATATGAAGACTAAAATGATGACAGTATAATAGAGGTGTGTCATGGTATGGTATGTGACATTTGTTACAACACTTCTAAATATAAATGAGCTCAACATTGCAAAATAGTAACCAAGCCAGATCAGCTTACAGTTCATCTCACAAAATAAAAAGGTAGTGTCAGTCATACTCCAGTTGAGTTATTCGCAAGTGGAATTTTTCTGTTACCCCATACCAAAGTATGTTCTTACCACGCCAGATATGTATAAAACATACTCCCTCTGTCCAGGATTGGTTTTTTATGGGACGGAGGGAGTGGATACCACACAAACCAATACTTATTAACTGTCATGTCAAACCATACTCTTAGCAGAAAGCAGAAACCATACCGAACAAGCATTAATTCATTGACAGATCTCCACATTTTACGGCCAGTGTCCTTCAGATTTTGATCTCTAGCACTTCGACCACGCCACAATTCTTTGACAATGTACATTACTTCTTCAGCATCGACCTTTAAATTAGAAAACAGAAGTTAAGAAAAAAAATACAATATGTCACAATGAGGCAAAGCAACTTAATTTTCACGAGTACCGTTAACTATGAAATAGCAAAAAATACGATACCAAAACTTGTTCAGCAGAACCATATATTAGCTCCTCATGCTCAAGAAGACGATGGTGAAGAATACGGTAATGATCCAAATCCATGTTAACAATTGGTTCAGTTTGAAAATCCAACTTGGCAAGCTGAGTAATCACATATGAGGCCATAACTTGACCAAATATTGCAGGGATAGTTCCCAGCACTGGGATAATGCGCACCCTGAATCCTGGCACGATCTGCAGAATGATACATACCATATTGTCAACTCATCTTTCCAACACTAATAAAATAGTAAACAGAACCGTGTTTCTTCTTCCAAAACAACTGACCTGGTAATCTGATGGAGTTTCTTCTTCTTTTGAAGCTTGAAAAGGAAGTAGCTTTGCCTTGGGCTTCTCCAAGGAAAAAACTACCGGTATTCCACCTTCAATTCCATGGTCCTTCTTCAGCCGATACCGCACCTACAGCAAATCAACAAAAACTGCAGTAAGTTATATATATTACATCCAACGAAAGACCCTAACATTCGCATACCAACTATGAAAGGGATCAAACAACCAATTGTGAAGCACCAAAACTTACAGCCCGAGAAAGAGGATCATTGCTTGATTCCCTCAAATCTGCAACACGAATTCTGGTTGGGTCCGCTCGAGCCCCAGCCCCCATTGCTGAAAGCACCCTTAAACCTCTGCGTACGCAAGCCGCAAGGAGTGCAACCTATTTGAGCATCAAGATATCCTAATGATTACCACAGGTCAAAATAATAAATAGCTCATGATGATGCACATAAAATAATTTCAATTTAGTTAACTGACATGGATGGAAGAGCAGAATTTTATTATCCACTAAGAAACTAGGTTTAAAGTAATAATATAAGAAAGTATTTTGTTGTTTAATCGTGATAATCTGGGGTCGGGGAAAATGTAATGTTCCGTGCACAATTCCCTCATCCAAGCAAAGCATATGGCATTTCATCAATTAGTAATGGCAATAACAATGAACTAATAGATAGAAGTAGAGTATTTCTGCACGTGCTTCATCTGCTGCTAACCACATGCACATTTCAAAGCATGCAAACCTTAAATAGCGAAAACACAACACTATCTGAAACAAATACTTCAATAATGTGTTACCTTCGTATCAATGTTATCTATACAATCAAGAACAAAGTCTGGTTGTCCAGAAAGAATTTCATCCTCGCATGATGGATCATACAACTGCACTTTTGCTTCGATTTGACACTCTGGATATATCATCGAAAAATGCTTCTTGAGGCATAATGCTTTAGGTGTTCCAACGTCATCTCTTGTTGCCACAGCATGCCGATTCAGCGAAGACAGCGAAACCTTTCAACATATTATTATGAGTTCCTTGTTAATGTCCACCTATTATAGATGCAAGATGTTATTTGTGGAAACATAATGTACATCAAGCCATTTTATAGTGCCATAAGGATTGTACACTAGAATGCCATGCATGGTTATGGTGACATAATTACCAATTTACCATCTATAGGTATCGAATATTTTTTAAAAAGGATAGCATGACTGATTATGTTTATCTATGTCCTAATTGATTGAATAAGAAGCAAGGAAACAACAATTTAACAACTGGAAAATGCACCTGATCAAAATCCACAAGGAGCAACCGGCCAACACCAGATCTAAGAAGCATTGAAGCAGCATGACTGCCAACCCCTCCAAGACCAATTACTACAACAAACGACCCTGTCACTTTCTTCTGAGATTCCATGCCAAAAAATTGTATATTCCTATTATTTTAAAAAAAAAGAAACAGGTGATGATAATCACAACAACAAATCATGGGAACAGCAACTACAACATCATTTCAGGGTAGTTGCTGAATAAGAATTTTGAAAACTTTGGTTTGTGTATAAAGTGCAAGGATGTCAAATATAATAGACTGATAGCAGAGGAAAATAGCTTATCAAGCATTGGTGCTATTTATTATCGGAAGCTGTATATTTTCTCAAAAAAAAAAAAGAAGAAGTCTTTAGCTATCATTAGCAACAGCATGTGCAGTCCATCAGATTTGCCATATCAAATAGATATTTCATTCCATCAGAAAGATCAAAAGCTGCAGTGAGAAAGAGGAGACTTGGCTCCACAATTTTACCAGAGAAAGCAATAATGCAAACCTTGTGAGCTGTTCGGAGACCACTTCATCATCAAGAAGATCCGAAGTAGCGACAACCCGAGTACCAACGCTCGATCCAGCACCACCTGCTCCAAATTAACATAGTAGTACAAACAACACATCATATAGACCCAGTTCAACGCTAGTAGCAAAAAAGCAACAAATCTATCACACAACAACAATCGCCTATCTGCTCAAAATCAGTACACGAGTCCAAGAACCACTCAGTGCATCACCGAAATAGCACTCGAGCTATCGGCTGGATTAGTTGCTAACCACTCCAACTTGACACTACTCATACTCAAGAAACGAGGAGATGCTACCACGCGCACTTACCACTGGCGACGCCGTTCGACTCCAGCAGGCTGCGCACGTACCCCTCCCTCCGCTTGGATCTGCATCACAGAAAAAGAAACCGAGGCGAATTTGAGGTTCTTGCCCATGCGACGCAGCCCCCACAACCTTGAGAGAGAGGGTGAAAATGGGCTTGAGGCGGGGTTACCTCGAGAGGATCCTCATGACGGCGGCGGTGGAGAGCGCCCCAACCGCGGCGCCGGCGCCGGCGACGAGGAGCCACTGCCTCGCTCTCTCCCCCATCTCCGCCTGCCGCGCTAAAACCCTACCACCAACCACCACCACCTTCGTGCGGCTTCGACAGCAACCGGCGGCGGCGGCGGTGGCGGTGGCGGCGCCTCCCCCTTGCCTTTTTAGAGGCGGCCGTCGGTGATGGGCCGGCGAGGCGCCTTTTGCTGCAGCCGCGCGAAACTCCGGAGTTATTTTCTTGGCCCACTTCAAAAGTCTAATGAAGTTTTATGGGCCTGATTGTTTTTTCTTTAGAGAAGGGCCTGATTGTTTTTTTTATATATACGTATGCAAGGATAGCTTCACTTCCATCATCTTGACGTCAAGTCCGAATTATATTCTTATAAATCATAATATTAAAAAAAATTGAACCATCATCTTTTGAAATCGGGTTAAATAATATCATAAAACAATAGGAATAGTTGTGTTGGCTGACGTGGCATTATAGTCAGAAAAAAAAATTAAAACATGTGGGACCCATTTTTGTGAGGTGTACAATTATACGGACATATGACAACAAGTGTATATTTATAAGGGACTACCTAAATACTGCCGTAAGTTCTTTGAGTTGAAAACTTTCGAATGTAACTATGATATAACTGTAGTTTAACTACATTGTAATTATATATTGTAATTTATATGTATCTACTATAATTTTTTTTTAAAAAAAACATGCACACGCTTCCTGGCTAACACAGCTTCCTATCACACAAAAGAAATTCCTCCTCACTTGCATGAAACTTGAGGCAATCTAAGGGTCTTGAGGAGAAAAAATTGACATACGAATTTTCCATGCTTATGAATCTGCCCTTGTCCCCCTTAGTTTCTCTCCTACGCTCTATAGTGTTCTCGCCGATGACGGAAGGGGAAGGAGATCCATCTCTCAGTAAGTTATTTTTGAAATTCCATCTAAATATAGTCTCTAAATAGATTTTATTTTTGCAAGGATAAAGAGGATTGGATCTATATTAATAGACATATAATTGAAAATTTATTTATAAATAATAAACCCGTGCACACCTACAGGTTGACGATATAGTTTACAGTCTTATCTTTTGGATTATGCTTATAAGCTAAAATTTAAATTTTCAACCTTAAATTTGAAGTTGATTTTGAGATATATTTTTTTCATTATAGTTTATTCTTCAGCCTTTACTTTTAGATCGCTAAGAACACGAATATAAAAGTTCTATTTACAAATTATTATTTTCCATTTGAAAACTGACGTTTCGCTCATTCCGTCAATAAACTAAATGATGGAGTCCTTAGTTACATCACAAGTAGCCAGAGTCATGCTTCCATGGTCAAAGCTATGTTCTAGAGAGGATTAATTTACAACTCACACTATTAGAAAAGGCATTTTTCCCAACGTAGGGGTCTTATTTTCGCAGTCGGACATGACCTTTGAAGCCAAACAACCGCCTACAAAAATATAAATCGGGGTGAAGTTAGCTGTCCACCTGCGAAAATAGATTTTTGCAGGCGGACCACTTAATCGGCGCCTGCGAAAATCATTTTCGCAGGCGGACCACTTAAGCGACGCCTGCGAAAATCAATTTGCGCAGGCGCATGTTAGGTGGTCCACTTGTAAAAATCGTACCTACCTCCTTATCCTCTCCTCCCCCATCCTTATCCTATCCTCACCTCTCCTCTCCACCGCTCATTTCCCTCTCCCCTCTCTCTCTCTCACTTAGAAAAAATCTCCTCTCCACCCCCACCTCCACCGCCGGCCGGCCCCCCACCTCCGCCGCGGCTGGCTCCCTCCTCGGCTCCCACCTCCGCCGCCGGCGACGACGACGACCGCGACGCCGCCTCCGCGCGCCGACGGCTCCCCTCGATCACGACGATGACCTTCGCGCCTCCGGCTCCCCACCTCCGCCGCCGGCGACGACGACAACCGCGACGCCGCCTCCGTGCGCCGGCGACGATGACGACCACGACGCCGGCTCTCCTCCTCTCCCCACATCCACGCACCGTCGGCCGGCTCCCTCCTCGGCGACGACGACGACCGCGCGCCGCCGGCTCCCCTCCTCTCCCCACATCCGCGCACCGGCGGCTCCATCCTCTCCCACGTCCACGACGAGCGACGACGACGACGACAACGGGCGACGACGACGACGGCGGCGCCGACGCAGCAGCTCGGCTCCTCCATGGCCGGCGGCGCCCGTGGTTTTTTTTTTATTTTTTTAGATGATTTTCGCAGGTGTGAAAATGGTCTATTTTCACAATCGATGTGTTAGCGGCGGTCCTCCTCCCCGCCTGTGAAAATGGTTTTGGGCCGCCTGCGAAAATCCTTTTTCTAGTAGTGTCACAAAAGGTAATTTTGCTGCCAAATTAAGTAGTAGTACTTTCTATAAGTTAATCATGATGAATGATGACTGCACGAACTTTTAGGACGTACTCCCTTTGTCTCAAAATATAAGTATTTTTAAAATAGTATTAAGTCAAACATTTTTAACTTTAACTAATAATAACGAAAAAATAAAAATTATAGTTCATGTGAGAATGATGTTATTAGGTTTATCATTAAACAAACTATCATAAGCTACTTCTTTTATTTAAAATAACTTATTTTTTAAATATTATTGATCAAAGTGACATATTAAAGGTCGAATAGAAATCTAAAAATAATTATATTTTAGTAAAGGTAGTAGTAGTACCTGACCTGAAAAGGCACAGCACAGCGAAGAACCTCCTCCCCCTGATCAAACCTTACCTGATTACCTCTCACTTTGATTTGGACCTTCGTTTGTTTGTGATGGCGAAAGTGGGTATCAAGATTCAAAGCACGCAATAATAAAATTTAAATAAAGCAGTACACCGTTTCTACCTAGGGTGTGTTTAGTTCACGTCAAAATTGAAAGTTTGGTTGAAATTGAAACGATGTGATGGAAAAGTTAAGAGTTTATGTGTGTAAGAAAATTTTGATGTAATGAAAAAAAAATTAGAAGTTCAAATGAAAAATTAAAAACTAAACCAGGCCTTAATTTCCTGCCTCTTCTTTAACGTGACGACGAATAGGGAGCAAAAGCCTATATATATAGTTGGCGTCACGTCATGCCCCATACATATGCTCGTGTTCACGAGCAGGCCAATTAAGCTGGCTCTGCTTTACCCAACTGCAACCCTCCTAGATAGGTCGGCCGGCGTCAATGTTGCCTTTTTTTCCTGTGTCCCCTTTTATCCACTAGCTTAGGCAGCACTTGAACTAACTTCCATCTCCATGCACGGTGCAATAAAGCATGCATCAGCATCATCCATACCTTTGTGTGTGTGCTTGCCATCAGTGTTCTGTTCAAAACTTTGTCCTATCTGACCTGAATAACAGAAAATTAAGTCCCATTATGTTTGTTCGTTTATTTTTTTTTCAAGAGTTTACGTCGATATATGAGTATAAAGGGTTTGATTGGAGGAGTTAATCATAAACAGTCTAGCTTTCTGTTCAGATTGCGAAGAGTTATAGTTGTACGGACATCAGAAAATAAACTAGAAGGCAGAAGCTTAAAAAGCTAGCTTCTCTGTATTCTCGTAAGCTGGCTGGTGCTGTTTCAAGCTCCCTTAAACCTGCCTAGAATTTGTTCCAGCATTGCGAATGACCGATAGAGTTAGGGCCTGTCCAGAGAGCTTAATCCCTATAAGAATCATGTTCTAAATGGATCCAGGTGTGTTGTTAGATTATTCTATTTTATTTTATTATTAGATGAAATACGCATGCGAACACATAATCGGTTATCGGTCTAAGTTACACAGTATAAGTGCTTTGTTGCAAATTCTGACACGACTCAGTCTTCATGCTTCAGGCCACAAAAGAAAATTTAACTCAAATTGACCTTGCATCCGCAAGTCTAAACATGCTTAGTAATGCACAATTCAAAATAACTGAAAGATGACAAAAATTCAAACCACTGATACTAAAATCAGTAATAGTTTTCTCCAACTATGTATTTGTGGAAATTATCTTGTGGACTTGAAAAAGAGAAAATGCATCGATCTTTTGTAATTTCCTATAATAAAATGTGCTGTTGTATAGAATGTGGACATTTCATACTTCAGAATTTTGGTCATGAAAATATTAAAAGCACTTGAGTTAGTCACAGTGAAATCATATTTGTAAGTGCATTTGCCATAAATCTTTTTTTAACATGACAATAGTAAGAACATGGCTGGATGCATTCAGTCTTTAGAATATTCAGATAGAGTAGTGAAAGACCTGCTATCAAAACTTCGATTCAAATTACAAAATGTATAAAAGCCAGGCACGTATGACTTAATGAATTAATTCCAAGTGATGAACGATGTACATATTTAATTATTTCCACTAATTAATCAGACGACAGAACCATGCAGTACACTGAGATGACACATAGTATAAGCTATATACTAATCATTATCGTGATGCACGTTAATTGAACTACTACTAGCTATATTAATTTCCTTCGTTGCTGACATGGAGCACTAAATATAGTTGAAGTTGTTGGACTGGCCTAATTACCTACCAAGGCACACTGACTCGTTTTAGGTATGTCTTCGCATATACAAATTAACATCTCCGAGAACCCAGCACTTAATTAATCAGAAGATTAAGAATACATATAGTGGTATAAATTATGCAATGTCAGACAGAACAGGTAGAGATGAGTTTTTTTTTAACGAAAGTAATAGTACAAGCTTAGGCTAAAGTTCTTTTTAATTATTCGCCGGATTATTGAAATGAATTATCTACTCTGTGCTTGAAAAAAAATTTCTCAAAAGATTTTTTTCTACTGCGTTGTTTATTTTTTTTAATTTTATTTATAAAAATATTTAATTTGTCCCTATAATCAAGTAAATAATCCATAGCAATAATAATCTGCTTGATAATCTGTTATAAAAGACTTGAACCTATTCTTTTTACATTAAGATTCAGATTTTACCTCGATTTTCGTTTGCATGCTTTTCAACTAAACAGTGTGTTTCATATAAGAACTCAAACTACTAAACAGTGTGTTTCATATAAGAACTTTCTTTATAGAAGTTGCTTTAAAATATCAATATATCTATTTGTCAGGTTTGTAATAATTAAAACTTAATTGATTACTCCATCTGTCCAAAAAAAAAATATAGAACTGGATGTGACATAGAATCTTGATTTTCTATTCAGATTCG